GTAGTCGGATGTTGGTATACTTTGGTGACAGATTTTCTTGTAGGCAGATTTTGTTAAACAAGACCGATGTCTGTAGGTTTACTTTCTTCTTAGAATTCTTCTCAAGAAGTCGATAAGCCGTCTTAACTCTTCAAATACACGAAGCAATAAAAATCCTACAGCAAACTCCCATAATCAACAAACAAGCGACAGGAACAGCACGCACACTGCTACTTCTTGGCGAGAAACCCCCAAGCCACAATACAACACTCCACCAATTAACACCTTCCACGAGCTAGATACCACCACCTGCTTACCAATACCTATAAATATCCGCCAACAGTAATCACAATTCACACAACACTCAGCCTTGATAATGGATGCAGAATGCATTCGAAACTCGTCGGCCAACTCATCACTAGCTACAACTTTTACCCGTTGTTCTAACAACGTTAAGACGGTTTATCGACTTCTTGAGAAGAATTCTAAGAAGAAAGTAAACCTACAGACATCGGTCTTGTTTAACAAAATCTGCCTACAAGAAAATCTGTCACCAAAGTACACCAACATCCGACTATTATATATATATATATAATTCAAAATCATTGTATCTCTTGGATTTGGAAAAAGAACTATAGCTTTCTTTTATGTGTACAGTTAATTAAGGTATACAAGAGATACAAAGGTTTTTAATACTTAATAAATAATTACTTCATAGTGAAAGGTAATATCAAACCTTATCAAAGTTACAGATGATCTTGTTGAGCAACTGAAGACAATTTGGTCCTTCTTGATATCCATAATTTGCTGTGTCAAAGACCATGTAGTTTGGGATGGATGCAAACATTACAGCAACACATTGGTACTCCTCATGGTAGATATCCTGAAACAATCAACAAACTTCTAGTTTCTTGGAAGGAATTCTATTAGCTCACAAGTTATTTGACATTTATTAGTTTTTTTTTACTTTCTAAGCAATAACCTCTATAATAGTGAAGCAGGATTCAAATAAACAGTTTTTAAATTTAGATTATATAATCTTTGATTTTTACCATACAGAATCCAGTAAAATTGTTTATAAAAGAAAAACAATAACAAGGCCTGTGTTGGGTAGCAGTTAAAGGTGGACACTTTAAATACTTTACAAACCACTAGAAAATACTACTGTTTCAAATTTATTGCTTTTGAAATCTTGTTTTCGATGCACTAATTAAACTTATAAATATGCATTATAAGACCACTTTATGAAGACCTCCACCATATATTGGGTTGTACCACTTTTCTCCACTATAAAAGCTAGGATTCAGCATGCAATAGATCCAAAAGATGCTGGAAGATATCTTTTTTTTTTTATTATTGACCATTAGATGAGGTGTGGGTCTGCAACTGGTTTACAGAAATACCATGATAAATACAAAATTCAAGTTCAACAAAAGGTGCTCAAACCTGGTAATTTTGTTAATTAAGGAAAATTACTGAAGTCACTTTTGTTCTTTTTGAACCAAAGTGAATTGTTGCTTTATCATTTGGGAATACTCCTTGTCCACAAGAATGCAAAGTGGTGTCAGTAATCAGTAATGACATTTAAATACATTTTGGATGTTATTTATCCTGATAAAAAAACCAAAAGATACACCTCATGCCAAAAGAACATTACTCACATTATTACACCACCCAAAACAGCTTGTACTGTTATCACAACACAATCAAAGTCAAGAACCTTGTGTAATTTTCTGTAAATTTTAAAAAAGAGAAGAGTGAAATGGAACTCATCAGACCACATTGTATACCTCCAGTCATTTTTGTTTCATCTCAGCTACATTGACTTCAGGTTTATTGCTTGATGCCATCTTGTAAATCTTTGAAGGGTAAGGTTGAAGATTGTTAAACCATTTAAATAATTGTTCACTCAAGACAGAGTCTAATGCCTGTTGTTGTTTACAAGACTGTCCAATCATCTTTTTCTCTCAGCCATTCACCAAATATTAGTGTCCATACAAATTTTCCTAGTAGCAGACATACTACCTTTCAGTTTTCACTGCTTATAGACTGATGACAAGGCTTTTGAAGGTATTTGTGAATTATGCTCCTGCTAAATGGGTACTCTTTATATATATACATAATTAAATTTCAATTTGTAGAGAAAAATAGAAATATAAAACAAAAAAATATACTTTAAAAATAAAAATGCAACCACATAATAAATGTCCAACACTAGGGCACAAATCATAAGGTGGGTTATTATGTAATGTGCTGTGGTTCTTTGAGATACTGGCATAAGTAACACCCAAATTGTGCTGGCAGTGCACCATCTTCTTGGTTCAACCTCAATTTCACCAGCCTCACATGCTTACAAAAAGAAAAGAAAAGAAGTAGATGTGGGTGCTCAAGCCCACAATGTAACAGATCGTTAGAACCTTTTGCTGTCTGCAGCCAGGAAAAGGAAGGTGGATGTTCACAAAAAATAGGAAAAAATTAAGAACAAAAATAATTGTAATACTATACTTTAATGGGGGGGGGGGACAGCAAAACTGTCTTTGAACTTAGCAATCCAAATATAATATTTGGACATAAATGCCAAGATGTTAAAGTACTACTATACTAAGCTTCCACCCTTCCATGCTACTATCTGTATCTTCAGTGGTTCTAAAGAGATCTACACAGTAGTAGGTCTTATACACAGAAGATGACACAACTACATTAGTCCACCAATATAAGATACAAAATTGTCCAAATAAACAATTCTAATTAGTTAATTTCCAATAAATTTTAAAATTATTTTCCATTGTATATGCTATAATTTTATTTATGCCATTTTTAAAATTTATGTAAATATTTTTTATATTTATTATAAAAAATAATTTAAAATATTTGATTAAGGTTTTTCTATCAAAGCCATAAAGAATTACAGTTTTTATAGTAATATTAGATGCTAAAAATTGTATATTGCTACAAATTTTACAATATCTAAGAAGCTGTGAATATATAATACTCTGTTTGGCATTTGTTGGTACATTACTATTTGGAGACCGAAGTCCATATAAATGTGAAACCATTTCTCTATCATAAATATTAATATTACTATAATTATTAATTTTCTTAAATTTTAAATCTAAATAATATGCTTCAATATTTGATATAAAAATATTCTCAACCTGCAGAACTGTAGGATAAATGCTACCAGTATAATTACTTATTACTGGTTTATTTATACTAATTAAATCATCAGTATATCTATATGTTAAGAAAAATAATTCTGGATTTGTAAAATTATTTAGAAATTTATTTTCATATTAATAGAGATATAGATTAGCAACAAAACTTGAATAATTATACCCCATCAGTATACCTATTGTTTGTTTATAAATGTATTTATCAAAATGAATATAATTATTTTACAAGCAAAAACCAAATATGTTTATAAAATCATTAGCAATAAAAATTTGATTTTCTACTTTTATATGTAAATCAATAAATGGATTTATTAACGAATTTATCACCAATACCAAATCATTAAGTAGCATTGTTGTAAATAATGTAGTATATATATATATATATATTAGGGGTGCATATCTCATCATAGTAGTCAATACAATAAGTATATAGCTATTGATGCTGCAATATGATATATATCTAGATACAGAAGTTTTACCAACGATTTGTTACAAAGTTTGTCAGTCTTGTCTGTAATGTGTTATCTATATTACCAGCATCATACACTTTACAGTGCTTTTTCAAATTCTCAGGTTTGATCAACTAAATGGCAACTGGCAAGAGAAGTAAAATAAAAAAAGTTAATATCTGTCTATCTATTTTGTTAATTTTAATTTGTTATGTTAATTTGCATGTAATGTTTTTGATAAAAGAAATGAAAAAACGTCGAGTACTCAACACTCATCTTTCTTTATTGAATCATTAATTTTTAGCAAAAATACTTCATTAGAAATTCTGATTTTTTCTGTACAAATGTTTTCTTATAATGTTCACTGAAAGCTTACCAAATTTTGTGAAAATACATAAATCATATCATATTGGACATATTAATAAGGATAAATTATTCTCATTTGTTAAGCACAAAGCTACACAATGAGCCATCTGTGCTATGACCACCACAGGTATCAAACCCAAATTTTTAGTGTTATAAGCCTGCATACTTATGCTGAGCCACTAGGAAGCATCAGAATCATGGTCATAAATATCAAGATCAAAAGTACTCAACTGGTGGATGAATACATGTTACGTCTCTGGTCGTTAGTTAATTTTCCGTAAAAATTCTTTCAGAAGAAACTTTACCGATACAAGTCGTTTCTTAAATAAAACTGGTTTATTCTTTCTGAATACAACTTTGCAATACACTTAATTTCCACAGTCGCGCTATAACAAACACTATAAATCACAACGAACGTCTCACGTGCTCAACTCAACTGTCAATTACACACATTGTTGCTGTCAATTCATGGCAGCTTATATATACAAGACTACCGCATATCTAGTAGCCTCTCGAGACTTCAGGAAGGGACGTGAACGTTCGAGAATATGACGTGCTACTAGCATCACGTGACCCCCGCTCTCGCAACACTGCCCCTTCCTTAGTATTGTTCGTCCCGAACAATAGCCACTTACATTAAACCAATAAACAATTAACAATAACTTAATTAAATGTACAG